TTCGCAGCGCCCTGTCCATGCCGCTGACGCGGGCCAGCCGCCCGCCACACACGCACGATGGGGCCACGGGGCCGCCTGTGCGGGCGGCGGAGGGGGCCAGGTCCTCCGCCTCCCTTCCCCCCTCCCCTCATCCCTCCCACATCGCCCCCCCCTCCCCCCTGCTGCTCCTCCCCCCTCCCATCTGCGATCCGATCTGCGACTGCACACGGAGCGTCACCACCGTCGACATTGACGGGACGGGCGCTGCAATCTTGGGAGGGACCAGGGGGCCCTGGTCTGTCCCCAGCAGCCTCATGATGAACAGCCCTACCTGGCAGCAGGCCAGAGGGCTCGTGCCGGCCTGCTGGCACTCCCAGCTACACATCGGCTCGTCTGCACTGAATGCGCGCACCTACACCTCGGATACTCGTAAGCACATCTCACTTCACGTACACAACACGCCTCTACCTCACCGAGGGGACCCAGCGGTGGCAGCATCGACGCCTCCTTTGGCACATGGACACGTCAGTCGGCACAGACACTGTGGCACCGAGCCCTGTGGAATGGAATTTAAGCGGTCCAAGATCCCAGGGAGCTTGGGGCCCTCTCAGCCATGTATGGAGATCTTGTACCTCTGGCCGCATCGCTATCTGGCAAGCAATTGGACGTATTACCAAAATGTCACTTTGCAAGCATCCGCAAGGCACATACGGGCACGTCTGAGACGGTTATGAAGGCCTCGCCGATAACCTCGGAAATGATCCCCGCGGTGAGCCTGTGCCTGAAAAGTCTGCATCCCACACAGACAGTCTAATTCAATGTAGCCTAGATGTGTTTGGCAAAAGTCAGCCTGCTATCACGTAGCTAGACCACGAGTTGCCTAGCAGATCTGTCCAGATCCCCGCTCCTCGGGCCCACCCTGAGATCCTCGCTTGGGGGGACGTTCAAGGAGAGTTGGGCCCCGAGTTTCTTGGATGGCAGCTATTTGCAACCTGCAAGCGGTGGCCATCCAGCCGCTGGCCACCAACAGGGGGGTTAAAGATTATGGTGAGGCGTCATTCCTGGTACAGAGCGAGACCGTCCGACTCGCCATTGATGCGGTAGGAGGTGTTGCCCCCCACCACCACTCCCGAGCGGGAGCCCGAGGAGCAGGATGAGGAATTGAGGGCTTTACAGGCCAAAGCCAAGACGTCAGTCGTTGCGGTCCAGATTAAGTTTGAAAAGGTCCTGGCACTCGGATGGTCAAACTCGCAGTTTCTTGCCAAGGCCCATCTCGTCCCCATCAACCCTTGCAAACCAGTTGATGCACGGTCGTAGGGTTCAGCACGCAGGACGGGCGCGAAGGTAGTCGACTACGTTCGGTTCCCCCCTCGTTGCCCGTCGCCTGTCTTTCCTCCCCCGCCGCAGACGCCGACACCTGCATGGTGCACTCGGCGGCTGTGAGCGAGACGCCTGGGCAGGACGGGCTGGACCAGCAGGCGCTTCCCTCCTTCGGCGGGCCAGCAGCCTCCTGGGCGCTTCCCTGCTTCGGCGGGAGCTGGGGGGCGCTCCCCTGCCACCATCGAACTGAATCCCTGGCTCCCGCCCTGGCAGTTGCTGGGGGGCGCATCGGCCGCGCGCTCCTGGTGCTCCTGCCCCTCCTCTTGCTGGTTCGCAGTATCTGCTGCTCCTCCTCTGCTCCTCCATCTCCTGTTCCTTTTATTATCCCCCTTCTCCTCCTCCTCCTCCTCCTCCTCCTCCTCCTCCTCCTCCTCCTCCTCCTCCTCCTCCTCCTCCTGGTCCTCCTCCTCCTCCTCATCCTCCTCATCCTCCTCCATGCCCTTTATGCCTCCCTCCTGTGCTCTGCCCCTCCCTCCCTGCCCCATCCCTGCCCCATCACTTCCCCCTCACTGCTCCCTCACTACCCTTCCTTGCTCCCTTCCTTCCCTCATCATCATCAACCTCCTCCCATCCTCGCTCATCCCTCATTCCTCGTCACCTCTCCTTGCACACACCTGCCTCCTCCCACTCCTACGCGCACTCCATAATCGTCCTACGTCTCGTCTTCCTCCTTGTCTGCGTTCCCATAATAATGGTAATGTTTGCCAGCGGGAACCCCCAAACAGGAAGGTATTGCACTGTGGATGTGCAAGCAATGCGGTGCAAGCTAAGCGGTGCAAGCTGTGTTGCGCAATATGTGGTACATACAAGATCTGTGGCGTAAGCTCTATGGTGCAAGCTGTCTGGTGCCAGCTATGTGGTGTAAGCAATGCCGTGTAGGTTGAAACAGGCTGAGTGGCGCAAGCTGTGCGGTGCAAGCTAAGCGATGCAGCCTACGCAGTGTAGTAAGCCACGTTGTGTAGCAAGTTATGTAGTGCCAGCTGTGTGTGTGAGAGACATTGCGTGCTGCGAACTGCATCGTGCAGGCTGTGGGAAGAGCTGTTTGGTAGACGCTACGTGGTGCAAGCTGCCCACGGGCACCCGACGCACGGGGCGTCCACGAGGCGCCCACGGGCGGGCACCCAGCCAAAACGCACGAGGG